CTAGTGGAGACATGTTTTCCTGGTTGTTATTGATTGTGATTTTCCCCTGGCATCTGGGCATCATGGTTTGGGAAAATTGTAATTTTAGGTGTTGATTGTCTTTGTTGGGTGGGTGTTTTGTTCCTTCTCTGTTTGGCGTCTGTTGCCTTCTCTGGTTAGTAGTGGGTGTAGTGGTTGGAAGAGGGTGTAGTGGCTTTGTGTTTCCTGGTAAGGAATCCTGAGATGATGCTAAGTGTGGTCATTGGAGTTTCTGGGTAAAATGTTTTTGTAGGTATTGAGAGCTGACTCTTTGGAATGAGGATGGGCTAGGAGAGGGACCTAAGGGGAGTCTACATGAAGGAGGAAAGCCGGGTGTTCTACCAGGATCTGCTCAGTCCCCTGGGAATGGAGGAAGAGAGTGAGGAAAGGCCACACCATGCAGTTGGCTACAGAGCGGAGGATGAGATGGGGAATTGGATATGGAGGAGAGGAAGGAGACTGAAGATGTGAGGCTTGCCTACCTGCTGGCCTCCTTGCTTCTCTGGTAGGTTTGACCGGCAAGTTCCCAGGGATTGCCTGCTGGAGTTGGGGGCTGGGATAACAGGATGGTTAGGGAGAAAGTTTGGAGGAGAAGATCTGCATGATCAACAGGAGATGGGGGCAAAGAGGGAGGTGGCTGTAGCAGGTGGCCTGCTCCAGAGTTGGGGGTAAGACTGAGGGACTGAATTTAGAGGAATGGAGGGGAGGTGAAGACTTGCAGTTAGCCTACCTGTTTCCCTGGCGGGTTCTTGGGTGATGCCTGCTGGAGGGGAGACTGGGATAAATTGATGAGTGTGTGTGTGGGGGGGGTGGATTTTGAGGGAAGGTCTATGTGAGCCACTGGGAAATGGGGGCAGGATGTAGGTAGTCTGCTACAGTATTAGGGGTGGGTTTGGAGGAGAGGAGTGAGGGGTGAAAATCTGCACTTAGCCTACCTGCTTCCCTGGCCAGCATGGCTGGAGGATTCCCAGGGAATCAAACTTCTGTGTTCTCAACTCTCCTTTTTGATTCTGAGAAATGCTCAGAAAACTCGATATGTAAAATACACTAAAGAAAAAAAAAAAAAAGCCAGACAGTGATGGAACACTCCTTTAATCCCTGCCCTCAGGTGGCAGAGGCATGTGGATCTCTCAGTTGGAGGCCTGCCTAGTCTACAGAGTTCCAGGACAGCCAAGGCTGTTACAAAGTGAAACCCTGTCTTGAGAAACAAAACCAAAAAAACCCCACAAAACAACAACAAAAATAAACAGCTGAAGGAAGCTCAAATTTTTTTTCAGTCCTTTATCAGACAAGGAATTTCCCTTTCAAACCCCTGTGGTTTTTGTTTGCCAAATAGGTAAAGTTTTCCTACTTTGTTTTTAGAAACTGAAGGCTATAGAGAAAGCTCTGAAAAGGGAGAGTCAAAGAGAACTACTAAGCAATGTCTCCTTAGCCCAGGATACCAGCTGCTTTGATCAAGTTATAACAGTGGTGCCCTGGACTGGGTTAGCTTCTCATCCTCTTTGTTCTTCTGATACATTTTGTTTTGTTTGACTATGTTTAGCTCTCTCCCTGAGAAATAGACACCAAACTCATTGACACCCTGCCCTCCTACAAAAAGCCACATTTTCGTTGCCTAAACTGGAACTTGTCAAGATGGGAAGTGCATTATAAAAATTGAATCCTGGAACCAAAGTTACTTTTTAAGAGTCTTGTCATTGCACACCCCCCCCCTTTTTTTTAATGAGAGGAAACTGAGATGCAGCAAGAGGGCACAGTGTTCTGTGTACTTAGGCCTTCTGACTTGGTGACAGTCTCTGTCACACGTCTGTTCATCTCGTAAAGACCTGACATGCATAGCACACAAAGCACTGTGAAGAATCTGTGTGGATATGCAGTGTTTTCAACCATGTGCCCAAGACAAGCTCTAACAACGTATACGCTCCATAAAGTGCTGTGTTTGCAACTTCCTGACTCAGTCTCTCCCTCTCCATGTCAGAAATCTGCCCATTTCCCAAAGCCCAAATCAGCTGCTAGTACTCCGCTGAGATTGTCTCAGATCCTACAGTCATGCTTATCTGTTTATTTTTCCTCATTTCTGTATTATTTCCTCCACTAGTGCTATTCCAGCATTCATCCAACTGTCTTCTTCTGGGGTATGAGTTATTACGGTGGAGACATGTCTACTTTTTCTTCTGATTCCAGTCTTTAAGGACAGTGGAAAAAAAAACAAATATTTTAGCTGATTTTTTTTTTCCCAGAAAGGAATCCTCAAGTGCCAGAAACAAAAAAAGGGAATCAAATCTAGGGTAGAATCATAGAAAAGAAAAAAGAGAAAGAAGTGGTGTTAATTGGATGATGTTTGTTGTCACTGTTGGCTTGCATGCAAAATAGCAAGTCCCTTATGACATTTTTCTTACACACTTAGCTCTAGTTGACTCTTCTCTTTTCATCTCACTGCCCCCCTGCTTAAACCTGTTATCTTCTGGAGTCCCCCTTTTACCTTGATGTCATATGTGTTCTATTATCTCCCTTTCCCTTAAAGACTGTTTTACCCAGCTCATGGGCCCCTTTCTAGTTTCCTGGCATCTACCTATACCCATATCCATATAAAGTATGTAAATAAAAAAAAGAAGCTAAGATCTAAACATGAGAGAGAACAACACGTGGTTCTCTTGCTGAGCTTGAGCTTCCTCACTTAATATAACACTTTCAAGTTTCATATATTTTTTCATAATGAAAAGTGCAAATGTTACTTTTCATTATGTCTGCATAAAATTCCATTGTGTATATGTAACACACTTTTATTATCTGTTCATCTGTTGATAGACATCTAGGAAGATTCTGTTTTCTTGCTGTTGTGAATTCAGTAGCAGTAACAAAGGTAAGCAAGTATCTCTTTCTGTAGAAGGATATATAGAGTTTCTTAGGGATATTCCCAGAAGTTGTATAGTTCAGTCATATGGTAATTCTGTGTCTTAGTTACTTTTCAATCGCTGTGACAAAGCACCATGACCAAGGCAACTTACAGATGAAAGTTTATTGGGGCTACAGTTTCAAAGGGTGAGTCCTTCACTCTCATGGTGTGGAGCATGGCAGGAGGCAGTCAGGCATGGCCCTGGGGCAGTAACTGAGAGCTAACATCTTGACAAAACCACAAGGCAGAGAGAGACATTGGAAATGGTGTAGGCTTTTGAAACCTGAAACCCAGTGACACACCTCCTAATCCTTCCCAAACACATCTACCAACTAGAGACTAAGTATTAAAACATATGAGCCTATGGGGGCTGTTCTCATTCAAACCTCCACATACTGTTTTGAGTCCTTTGAGGATTTTCCACACTGATTTCCATTATGGCTACAAGAGTTACCATTTGTCTTTCCCCATACCCTCAGTAGCATTTGTTGTCACTTGTTTTCTTGATAAATATTCTAACTGAGGTTAAGTGGAATAGCAAAGTAATTTTAATTGGCAACTTCCTGATAGCTAACTAACTCTGTAAAATATTTATGTTTCTTCTTCTGAGAACTTTTTATTCTGTTCCAGTTGTCTTTGTGTCTGTGTTTGTGCCCGTGTCATGCTGCTTTTGTTACTAGGACTCGTTTTTGTTACTATGTCTTGAAATCAGATATGGTGATATCTGTAGAATTATTGTTTTTCGTGTTTAGTGTTTACAAATGAATTTTAAGATTTTTTTCTGTTTCTCTTTTTTTTGAGTTCTTTGTATATTCTAGACATTGAAGCTCTTTTGCTTCTATTGTAGATTTCATTTTTTCCCCTCTTTTTCTGTCTTTGGAAGAAGGTGTGTTTTTCCTTTCTCTGAGTCCTCTTCACCAGCTCTCACAGAGGAAGCCATTACAAATGGAGTTGTTTTCCTTATTTCTTTCTTAGCATGCTTATCTTGTTTCTGGCATATAGAATATTTACTGATTATTGCATGTTGCTTTTATATCTTGACACTTTGGTGTAATTGCTTATTAGATCTAATTGATTTCTAAGTTGGAGTAGTCTTTCAGGATGGGCTCATAATATTGAAGGATGACAGCTTGCTGGTGAAATAGATGCAGGGTATCAGGACAAGAAAGTTTCTGGAAAGTGAGAGGGAAAAGGTGATACTAGCTACTTCTGGAAGGAGAATATCACCATCTGCCCAGCATGTGGCCACATGCTCACCCTGGAGCACTGGATAAAGTCAGTGCAGCCTGATAGGTGTGTGCTAAGACCTTTTGCTATAGTAAACATCAAGGTTTACTGTTGTGGGTGACCCTGCTGGAACACCCCTTGTGGGAAGGGGTGAGAAGAGCAGCACCAAGGACCCAGGCACTGGGAGTCAGTGAGTAGCAGAGCATGCTGCAGCCTCATTTATTAAGGAAGTTAGACCTGCCCTCATACCCCCTCCCAAGGTCCTATTGACTCAGGTGGCAGACTCTGCTGAATTGCCCTTTCCTCATTAGTGTTTCTGGGTCAGGTGTCTCTTTGTCAGCAGTCTCTGGGCATAGAATCAGGCTTGGCTCAGGGAGAAAGTGCCTGCTGTGTATGCTCATGCAGGCTGGCTGGGCACCTGGGTAGGGCGACTGTGGCTTGGGTAGACTGGCCACAGTTTCTCCTACAGTTTACTACCAAGCAGGAGAAAGATGTGAGGCAACCAAGAGGAGTAAGTAGTTTATTGGAGTTCTGTTCATTATAATTTTTTCCCCCAGGGAGAGAGAGAGATCCTGTGGTGGTATTTTGTTTGTCCTCTAACAAATAAAGCTTGCCTGAAGATCAGAGGGCAGGGCTAGCCACTAGCTAACCAAGAGGTCTGGAAGTCTGTTCAGACAGACTGGAAGTGAGATGGCTGGGCAGAGAGAGGAAATAGGAGGGAGGAGACAGGAGCTCTGTCTCTTTGCAGTCTGAGGATTTTTTAGAGGTAAGAGCTCTAGTGGCCAGCTGCTCTGCTTCTCTGATCTTTCAGCTTTCACCTCCCCTAATATCTGTCTTTGAGTTTTATTATTAAGACCAATTAGAACTCATGCTACAAAGTCCCCCACTACAGCAAATTATACAGTTGAATTTTCTGTATTTGGGGAAATTGTGGGAATCAGCAAAACCTAAGTATAATGGATGAGCCTCACCCTAGGAAAACCACCCTCTTGATCATGATATCTGCCCTGCCAGGTAACTATTTCAAAAGTCACATTGAGGAAAACAAATCTTAAGAATAAACTTTAGATTCTTCTTTCTTTTCCTCTTCCCAGACAATTAAGTGCTAAGCCCCTTAGTTGTGGCCAGCAAGGCTGGCTTCTGACCCAGTGGAGGCAGACAGTGCCTGACTCTGTCACTGCAAAGCCCAGAGCAGCTGCAACCCAACAGATGAAACACCAATTGCCCAAACACTGGCCTCCAAACACCATTCTCCACATCAAGTAAGAGAAATGCCGGCTTCCAGGGTTAGAGCAACACTCTGCATGAGTCTGTGATGGGGCAAAAGCACACGGGGTCGCCGTGATTACGCCAGTTAAACTGGAGATAAATAACGATAGGAACGAAATAAGGTAGGCTATGTATACATTGCTTTTCTCATCACTGTAACATAAATACCTGCCAGAGATAGTTTAAGGGAGTGAAGATTTCTTTTGTTCACTGCGTTCAGAGTATTCAATCCATGATTTCTTGATTTCATATTTGGACAGAACATCATGGTGTGGAATGTGTTGGCACAGGTAGATCAGAGTAGAGTACAAGTCAGAAACTGGTGGTTAGGTACAAACTTCAAAGGTGTGCCCCAGAGCCAACTTCTCCAAGATACACCCCACCTCCTAAAGTTTCCACAGCCTTCCAAAGTCAGGCCACCAGCTGGGTACCAAGCATTCAAAGTATAATCGTGTAATGGACATTTATTTTTAAGCTATAACACTGAGTCAAAACTGGTAAGGTAAATGAGTAAATTGAGAGTTGGGGGATGAATAAGTAATTTATGTAAGTTGCAGCTTGCCTTCCTTCAAAGGAAGTGTGCTGACTAGTTTTATGTCAATTTAACACAATCTAGAGTTATCTTTAAGGAGGGAACCTCAATTGAAAAAATGCCTCCATAAGATCTGGCTGTAGGGCATTTTCTTAGTTTACCAGCTGATGTGGGAGGGCTCGGGTCATTGTGTGTGGTGCCACCCCTGGGCTGTTGGTCATGGGTTCTATAAGAAAGCAGGCTGGCCAGGTGTTGGTGGCACACACCTTTATGAGGGGCTAGGAGAGGGGGAGGGCGACAGAGAGGGAGAGGTGCGGGGGGGGGGGGGGGGGGGGGGGGGGGAGGGAGGAAAGCAGGCTGAGCAAGTGATGAGCAAGCCAGTAAAGAGCACCCCTTCCATGACCTCTGCCTCAGCTCCTGCCTCCAGGTTTCTGCCCTGTATGAGTTCCTGAACTCAGTGCTTTTGATTATAAACTGTTATATGGAACTGTGAGTGTAGTGAACCCTTCCCTCCCCAGGTTGCTTTTGGTCCTGGTGTTTCATCACAGCAATAGAAACCCTAACTAGAACGGCAGGTATGGACTACAGAGCAGTTGCCTCATGGGTACTTTAGATGAGGTGATGAGACAAACTGAAAAAGAGCCTCTAAAGCTATTATAAGAAGAGTACAGCATTTTCTGCCGATTTCCTGTCAAATACATGCATCTTAAACTTAATTTTGCAGAAAACCCAGACAAATCTTTCAGAAGTGCCAAGGTTGTGGTAGGCTAAGAAAGACCAAGGACATGTTCCAGTCTTAGGGTTACAAAAGGGACATGCCCACTAAGCATGCCGTGAGCTGTTGGAGTGGGATTTTTTGCTTAGAAGACATCAACAGGCCATCTGATAAAATTCCAATGAGTCCTGAAGAATAGAGAGTAATAACTTGTCAACAGTACTTTTCTGGGTTTGATAGTTACATTGTGCTGTGTAGGGGAGTGTTTTTATTTATAGAAAATACTTAATTATTTAAGGATGATGAGACATTATGTTGACTACTTATTCTCCATTGATTCAGAAAAAAAATCTTTATTTTGATTTTGCTCCTCTATCAGTTTGAGCTTATTAAAAAAGATTTTCTGGGGTTTTTTTGTTTGTTTTTTGTTTTTTATTGTTTTTTGTTTTTGTTTGTTTGTTTAAGACAAGGTCTCATGTAGTCCACCATGTATCTGTTGGGGGTTGAACCCAGGGCTTTTTGCTTAGTAGCCAAGTACTTAGCAACTGAGCTACAAATCCTGCTAGAAAAAAAAAAAATTCAAGGAACAAAACTTAGGATAAAAATAGTTTTGAGTATGTTTGTTAGGATTAAAACCAAACTAAGGTAGGAGAAAAATATTCACAGCTGACTGATAGAATTTGTTTGTGCTTTAATTTGAAATTCAAGAGTGTGGTGATTTGAATGAGAAGCACCTCCCACAGTCTGAGGCGTGTGAGCCCTTGGTCTCCAGTTGTGGGCACTGGGTGGGTTTAGGAGGTGTGGCTTAGCTGGAGGAAGTATGTTACTGGGTTGGCATTGAGAGTAGAAAGCTTCGTTACTTCCAGGTCATTTTCTGCTTCCAGTGTGCAGTTGGAGAAATTAGCTCTCAACCGCCTTCTCTTGCCACCATGCCTGCTGCCTGTTGCTTCTGTCTTGCCGTCATGGACTCTAACCTTCTGGAACCAAAAGCCAAAATAAGTTCTTGTATAAATTGCTTTGGTCATGGTGTTTTATAACAGCAACAGATGAGTAACTAATACAAAGGGCTTTGTTTTACTTAATCGTTTGCTCTGAATAAAGCTGGAAACAAATCACCAGCAACCTTTTCAGTAATTCCTTCCTCCAAATACCATAATGGACCCCCCTCCCCCATATTAGATATGGATGAATTTCTCCCTCCCTCCCTTTTCTCCTGCCCCCATCCTTTCCTTCCTTCCTTCCTTCCTTCCTTCCTTCCTTCCTTCCTTCCTTCCTTCCTTCCTGCCTCCCTTCCTTCCTTCTTTGTGGTGCTGGGGACTAAACCCAAAGTTTTACCCTTGCTGGGTTACCCCTCTACCATCAGCTACATGTAGCCTTAGGCCCCAAACTTGATGTATCATTCACTTGAAAATCTTGACATTTTAGGTCACAGACTGAGAGATCTGGATGTGGGCCACAGTGTTATCACTGGAGGACTTCCACTTTGGCAAATGGTTTTATTTTACTAGCAAAATTCAAGTTGGGGTATATATCAAGCCTTTTCTTTTCTGGGCCCTAACCAGCTTCCACATCATGACACCGAGGCTTCTTATTAGTTATGAACACTTGGCCTAGCTCAGGCTTGTTTCTGGATAGCTCTTTTAACATAAATTAACCTGTTTCTCTTTATCTATCTTTTGCCTTGGGGATTTTTACTTTTCTTTCCTTCTGTATATCTTTCTTTCACTGTTTCTCCTGTCTGGCTGTCTGGTGGCTGCGTGGATGCCTGGCTGCCTGGCTTCTGGCCCTGGGTGTCTCCCTCATTCTATCCTCCTCTTTCTCTTCCTCCTCCTCCTCTTCCTCCTCCTCCTCCCCCCCTCTCTCAAGCTTTAGATTCTTCCTATTTATTCTCTCTGCATGCCAGCCCCACCTATCCTTTCTCAGTCTAGCTATCAGCCTGTTCAGCTCTTTAGTAGACCAATCAGCTTCCCTAGGCAAGCAACACATCTTTATATAATTAAACACACATTCTTACATCATTAAACAAATGCAGCATAAACAAATATAACATGTCTTTACAGTTAAAGTAATATTCCACAGCATAAGCAAATGTAACACATCTTTACACAGTTAAATTAATATTCTATCTGGATTTAATTCTCAGCACCCACTGGCAGTTCACAGCCATCTTTTACTCCAGTTCCAGGGATCCAATGCCCTCTTCTAACCTTCCTGGGCACCGAGCATGCAGGCAGTGCACATGCATACATTTAGGCAAAGAACTCATAAAATAAAATGGATAGATATAATTTAAAAATGTAGTAAGAAAATTCCCACTGAATTACATTGCAGTCTGGTAAAGCACAGAGAAAAGGAAGTATATGATTTCAGTGCCATTCACAGAAAAACAATGGAGCTACTAATAGTGGCTTGTGGTAGTACCTGCCATTTACATAACCTGGCTCAGAGTCCCAGTAAAGGAATTTAAGAAGGCTAAAGAAATTATGCAAGCTCTTTACAAGCAAGAATGGAAAAGAGTTACTTGTAATGACTTCAACAGACTCCATTTCCCACATATCTGTTATCATGTAGCACCACGATATACTACTTTAAAAGCCAGAACTTGAGCATTTTTAAGCCAATCATTCTAGGTGGTTAAGGTAAGTCATCTTGGAACAAACCTTTGTTCATAGTGGATCACAATTATGGCCCATAGCTTTATATGTTATAACAAGGTCAGGGGAACCTTCCCTCTCCATACATTCAGAAATGGTTGACATGCTCAGAGCCCAACTTTGGACATCAGGGATAATGAGGCATTTGGGACCAAGGAACCCAAAGGGCTGACTCATATAGATTTCTCCTGATGAGGATGTTGGACTGCGCTTTGTTATTTATTCTTATTTGGTTTACACATTTTTACTTGTAATTTTTTTTGTAGTACTAGTGACTGAGCCTATGGCCTTGTGAATGCTATGCAGGTTTTCTTTTTTCTTTTTATTATTAATTCAAGTTAGGCTATGCAGGTTTTCTGCCACTGAAGTATACTCCCTGTCTTCTCTCTCTTTTCTGTTTTTTATTTTTATTTTATTTTTACTTTTTGAGACAGGGTTTCTTTGTATAACAGTCCTGGCTGTCCTGGAACTCACTCCGTAGACCAGGCTGGTTTTGAACTCACAGAGATCCACCTGCCTCTTTAATCCCAAGTGCTAGGATTAAAGGTGTGCACCACTACCACCCAGCCTGTTCTCTTTTTACTTTTTAGTTTGAGACAAGGTCTTACTAAATTGTTCAGGCTGGCTTCGAACTTACTCTGTAGCCCAGGCAGACCTTGAATCTGTGACTCTCTTGCCTCAGCCTCACGATTAGGCAGGAGTCTAGGTTGTGCCATTAGGTCTGCCTTGGATGGAGCTTTTGAACCATGAGAGACCCCAGGAGTTCATGGAGTTAGCACTAGAGGGAGGAATTCTAGGGAGAATAATATTATTAAATAAAATTATGTTACAGAGAATTATAATTTTATAGTT